AGATCTGGCTTCATCGTCACCCTCTCATATACCACCACTGGCAGGGCCTCCAGTACGCTGTGATCCAAAACGCAGCGATTCCACACTGACCCCCACAAAAGGAAACATTCCCCTGTGCAGAAGCAATTTGACATCTTGGACCTTAATTCTTCTGGACAGATGTCGGCAGAGTAAATACTTAGCGGAATGGGATCATTAGTCATCCGAGGCTGATGAGAAAAACAGAAGAGGCGAGGGACTGATCTCATTCTTCATCTGGTGATCAAACATTCCCCCAATAAACGGACACACCTTCCATTAAAACAGCTTCGGACAGTTATTGCTATTAAAAAAGTTATTGCAGGTTTAGAGCGTTGTGTAATACTTTACTACTACTAAGGATGTGTAGTAGAAAAACAGATGGCAAGAACAAGCTTATATTTAGAAAAAATTGTTTTATTGTTTTGCCTTTTCACATTTTTTTTTTCACATGTCACAGTTAAATGTGTCACCCGAAGAAGCCTAACACAGGATAAGAAACCGATGATCTTTATCCTGAGAGGAAGCTCTGTGTGCCATGCCTGAAGAAGGAGCCTCTTTCACTCGGACCCTTGCGTAGAAATTACAGCATGAGACTGAGATGAGACTAGGACCGTGTCCACGAGTCTACTCCAGCTCTCCGCAGTCTGCGATAGTGATCCTCTTGGAGGTTTGCCCAGACTGGGAACCGAAAGCCTCCACTTTCTTGATCACGTCCAGTCCCTCCTTCACGCTGCCAAAGACAACATGCCTGCCGTCCAGCCTAAATGAAGAAAGAAGAGCTGTATTATCACTGCCCCGCACTGAGAGACAATCCCTGATGTACCCAGCAGGCTTTGACTCATGACTTTGTGTTGGGTGATGCACTATTCCTGCAAGAATTCTGCTATTTTAGGCCATCATTCAAATCTTCTTTCTGCTCCTCCTGTCAAAACATTACATGAATTCACAGCATCCACCCAGAAGGTCTGGGGAAAAAACCTCTAGAACAGCATTTTAAATATAACTGGGAATCACTAACTACATATCTCCTAGAGGCTGCAATAACACAAGTCATCCAAAAGGCAGCAGAATTGTATTGTTGGATGGTATACAAAATATATTTTTCAAATTGTCCCAGGGTAGTTTCTCTTCTTGGGACTCCAAGTCAAATTTTACAATATGTGTCAAGTTTGCAGTGTCCAAATTGCACACTGCCCCAGAAGCACTCACAGACTTTAGGTGAATTAATTGTCATGTTTTTTTTTTACATTTCCATAGTCATTAAAGTTATGTCCATTTAAAGAGGCAGTGAAAATGAAGATCCATGGAGGCTTTAATACTAATTAAACCTTTGAAAATATGAGCTGAGAGTTGCTTGGTGAAACTGGCACTGTTTAAATAGGATAAGTATCACCCCAGTATAATTCTTTTTACTTTATGTTGAGTATTGATGCGTCTGCTTTTGTTTGGTTTTCCCAATTGCACAAGATCTTCAGTTTTCAGCAAATGATCAGAGCTCTATACAAATGAATGACTTCAAATAAAGCCAATGACGGTGAAATGCTGTAAAAAATAAATAAATACAGTAGCATCAAGACTCATGATGTTGTGTGTCAACACATACCATTCTGTTTTAGAGGTGCAGATGAAGAACTGGGATCCATTGGTGTTGGGTCCAGCATTGGCCATAGACAAGATACCTACAATGCATCAATTAAAAAGTATTTATCTTAAAACATGTTGTGCATTTAGCTTTAAGTAACAAAACAGTCATCTTAACAGATTTACTTTTCCTGTCAAGTCAAAATGCCCATGTTGAACTGGAGAACAGATTTCATTATCATCTAAAACAGGGGTAGCCAACGCAAGCCGTCATCGCCACGGAGGAGCACACAGCCTCTGTGAGTGAGAGAGAGAGAGCGAGCGAGGGAGGGAGCTAGGGGGAGAGAGAGAGAGAGAGGGAGAGAGAGCGAGAGAGCTAGGGAGAGCACACTTTTATCTATTTAATATAGATAAAGTAAGAAATCATTCCAATGTGTACTATAGGACAGTAAAAAAAACTGTTTAAAAGGGGAGTGATCAGTAAAATATGCATAAATAAAAAGAAAGAATGCTAACTAGGTAACATAAGATAAGAATAAACAAGTTTAAATGATTTGTTATTGGTTGTAATAATATTCTAACGATGATAGGAGTATTGAAAAGTATACAGCTCCCTTTCATCTGAGTGTTGAGAGCTATATCCATAAATTCATTTTGTGCTTAGATTGATGCATTTCACTTCAACATTTGCATGCCCCCGGACCCCCCTAGAGGAGGTGAGGTCCCCCCTAGAGGATGTGAGGCCCCCCCTAGAGGATGTGAGGTCCACCCCCCAAATAAAGCAGGTTGAAATAATTAAATGGAATACATGTTCTTTTAGTAAACACTGAAAACGGGTCCCACAGACCCAAACAGCACACAAAGGTTAAAGGTAAGCATATAATAATGTAAAAATGTGCTAAATATATACACTGCAAAAAACAAAAAAAAGAGGAGTAAAAGTAGCCCTCGACTTGTTTTATTTTTTGAAAGTAGCCCTCATCCTAAAAAAGGTTGGTGACCCCTGATCTAAAACATAAACCAAGATGATTCACAACCGTTCACAACACATCAACACTATTTGCATAATGCTGCCACCTGCTGGTGAAAATGAGTTAGACAAACATTCCGAGTTACCCTCTTGCATAATGTTTAATGGCTTTTACATAACAAAATATGCATTCATATTATCTAGATTAATGTAAATAAATGCAAAATATAGAGAAGACTAATTTACCTGCCAAAATACTGCAGCTTCTTAAGAGTGAGATTTAGTACATGTGCACGTTTCTGTGTATCCCATAATCTCAATATATTGTGCAGTGATTAAGACGTAATGCTGCAGTTTGTGCAACACTTTGAGGTTTGTTGCAACACAGATAATACTGAGTACAGAGTTTGGATGAATAGAACAGTAGCTGACAGTATGTGAAGGAAAACAGATTCTGCATAATTCTGTGATTTCAACTGATACTTGAAGATAATTCATCACGTTAGCCAACTTTCTACATCGACATACATAAATACACTGTGTATATCTTCTTTTGTGTACAAACAGAATAAGATATTTACCAGGTCCAGTGTGCTTCAGCTTGAAGTTCTCATCAGAAAACTTCAATCCATAAATAGACTTCCCTCCGGTTCCATTGTGGTTAGTAAAATCTCCACCCTGAAATATAACACTGCTGTCATTGCACTGTAACACCATGCCTGCGGGACAACAAAAGGACAACAAAAGGAAAAGACAAAAGCTTACCTGGCACATGAAGCGAGGGATCACCCTGTGGAAAATCGATCCCTTGTAACCAAAGCCCTGTTCCCCTGTGCAAAGCGCTCTGAAGTTCTCTACGAGAAAGATTTGAGTCAAATTCTATCTCACAATCAACACAGGTCAGTGCTTCCCTCAAGTGTTAGTTTGAATTTGAATGTATGATAGTCCCTCTTATTTGAAAAGGAACAACTAATCTGTACTTGGGTTGGGTACAGGTTATTTCTTTTTATTATGGCTGGGTATCTCAGTGTTTAGGTACACACAGGCTGTGTATGTGCAGAAGTAATAATATACTAATAATATAATACCATGAATAATATTAATATTATTAATATATGTATGTATGTATATATATATATATATATTAATAATATTCAAACCATGCCAAGCTCTTGTCATTCAGACTCCAGGCATGTCTGGTATCACAAAGGAAATCACAAATGAGTGTAAGTGTGTTAGTGGTGATTATACATGCATAAATAAATTCAAAGATAAATAACAATGAATAGGTTTTTACTTTAAGACAGACAGCCATGCTTGAATCATCATATCAGTTTCAAATAGCAGAATTTTCTGTAACTTAAATCCCACCCAAATAACTCATGTGTGATCGGAATAATATTATTGGTGCACAGAAGGAGAATATTCTCAAAACAAATACTTCCTCCTTTAGTTTATGAGGAATATTCAAATAAATTATCACCTAATGTGATAATATGTAATAATAAACATGAAAAAAGATGGTTTGACTTTCAGATGCACTTGAGTATGCGTGTTTGTATTTAGTGTTTTCAGGAAAGGAGACTCGTGTACTGACCTGCAGTTCTTGGCACAACGTCTGCGTTCAACTGCAAAGAAAACAGAATGCCTCAGGGTCAAATGTGGACACGTTGTTCTCTGGAAAACTAGAGCCGCAGCGACTAACTACAATACATACTATCTATGTTAACGTTACTAACCGGAAACGGTACATATTTCAGGTGTACAACAGCGGTTAGTTTATTTTTCATTCAGTGCAAACATGACCTAAAGGAGAGTAGAAGTGTCTCACCTCGAAGGTTACTCTGCCGACAAGCTGGTTGTCTGCAGCAATGTCAAAGTACACCGTGGGGTTTTTGTTGGCAGCTGCAGGGCCGGTGCTGTACATGCGCGCGAAGGTACACGCGAGAGAACATACTTTTATTCTGTTTGTTAAAAGTAACATTTTCCAAGTTATTGAGGCTCAGCTAGGCAATGAGCAAATGTCACGCTTACATGTGAAAAGCAAGGAAGTGTTTCTCACGCAACCGGAAATATATAAACTGCAAGCTGAGACGGGAAACTCTCGCGAGATTAAACGTGATACAGAGCATGCATTGCATTAGGGGACTTTTGAAATGTCAATTATTTATTAATTTATTGCTCTGCTACCATATCGACTGTACATTTCTGATAGGATTACATTTGGTATGTTTGGGTGTGTGCATTAATTCAGCTAATATATTATGCTATTATACATGTATGCCTACTCTTAATTACATTTTTAACTTTTGTTTATCTATGTTTTTTATCCTTCGCATTTTGAATCCGTTTATATTGTTTTTAGGCAAGCCTCTTGTCTAAACTATGATGCAACTGCACAAAAGACAAGACCACAGTGACATACATGTATCATCTGAATACATATTTATTAGATAAATATTAGGTTGTCACATCATCTAACTACATACAGTTCTGCAAGACTACAAATCACAATTAGTTCCTTTATTTTCTGACCAGTTTAGAATATGAAATGATTGTACATACAATGTACACAATAGAGACAATGGCCACATTGCATGAATAACCTTAGATTGTGTCATTTTTCCAACTTCTTATGATATCAAAAAATTGTACAAACTATGGATTTGGTTACAATCTTTTGGACCAGTCCCTCCCACCACCTTCCTCCCACCCCAGCGAAATAATTTACTTGTAACCTTGTTTTTACTTCCTTTTTTAGCTTTAGCACCTCAGTGTATGCAGGTGACAGACTAGAACACTTAGGCTAAATATTACATATAAAACATAGCTGTCCCAGTCCCCTGACATAAGAGGTGAAAGTATATTACAGAGGGAGAACAAAATGCTGAAAGATACCCACAAACATTCACCAACAAGTTTCATTTTCCATATTTAGCCACTTCCAGTAGAGGGGTTGCAAGCTTTTTATTATTCTGAAGAAACAATGCACATTCCCAGGGAACATGAATACATTTCTGTTCACATGTCTCTATAATCATTTACATATATACAGTCATCCTTGGGACGTTTGATCTAGCCTTGCCCTCGACATCCTTTCCCGGCCAGAATGATGCACGTGCCCTTCCTCTCTGTATTTTGTATTCATTTTTATTTTTTTAAACAATTCCCCAAGAGTAATGGCCCTTTTATAGTGATTGTGCATCAACAGATTTGGGGTGCTGCCTTATAGATCAAATTGGCTCACTTGGAAGTGAGAACAAAATGTGAAATGATGAAGACTTTCATGGGAATGAACAAAAAGTTTCAATTCAGATAACGAAAGATGAAAATGGGGTAGTGTATAATTTCAAGGGGGATTATTCGATGTGTCTTTGTGACATAAATATGAAACAACATGTCAGTGTGCTGAACTGGTAAAAATAATATTTTATAAATGACATTTAAAATAATGTTTACATTAAACCAGGGTGGTTATATCAGCACAATGCTACAGTTGAAATAAATTGGATTTCTAGCCTTACAGATCAATAAGAAAAACCAATACAAAATAATTTACCAAAAAACAAAATATGGGGATACAAATGTATATGGTCTGGTGCCTTTTAAAAAAGCCACATTTTCTTTAACAAAAATATAAACAATATTGTGGATTTCTTTAAAATATGGTTGTGATATATCTTTAAAATACCACTGTGTATTGACAATTAGCAACAATTATGATATTCACATAGCCCACTAATTACACTGAAAGCCAGCTGATACCACGTCTTTTTAAAAAAAAAAAAAACATTACTGTTTTGTATCACTGATCAAATGTTAACAGAAATTCATGAATACGCAAACTTTTCAACCGAATACATCTGAGCGTGAAATAAAATATTGCAAGCTTGACATCTGAAAACTGAAATGATGCTACACAATCACCGTGAGCTGATGCAGGGAAGACGGGACACATCAAAATGGGACGCGACCTGCAGGAAATAGCTTATGAGACATTTAGACTGGCTTCCTCACAACAAGGATGCGAGAGAGATGTCGTACGCTGGTTACAAACAAAGTCAGTGGTTAGGTGGGAGTCTGGGAGCATACGTTGTTAGGTCGGACGACTAATGATCAAAGGACAAACATTATCAAGATGATACAAAAATATTCACAATGATATTTACAGTACAATAGCTTTTCTTAAAAAATAATACATTTGCATACTGAACAGCACTCTTCTCCAAAGTGAATTTGAAAACAAATGTGGCAAAAGGTCTGCACCAATACTGCTTTAAAAATCACTTCTTGAACAGCATTGATGGATAAACTGCTTTTTTCCCTCCCCTATATCTTTGAAATCAATATTTCCTCCCTTCACACCAATAAAATAAAAAACACACTCACATAGTCTCACACTCACACATGCACACACTCACAGTCACACACAGGACCAAGCAAACACAAACCTCCTTATCCTCATCCCTCTACCTTTGGTGATTTTGAGCAGTTTCCCAAACGATTTATGGATAGTTTAATTTTGCAGCAACAAAAACAAGAAAATAAACAAACATAATACATTATATCCAGCAAATACATGATGAATGTATCGCTGTTATCAGCATTATCCCTTCAATGTTAGTGTTAAATAAATCATACTAAATCTGACAGAAATCAAAAACAAATGTACAAACAAAAAGAGCCATGGAAACAGCAACTGATAAAAACCACACTATCTTTTTTTTTAACCACTTGGAACATCACTAGACAAGGGCTTGGCACACATGCACTTTGTAGACTACTTTAACAGCATATCATTTAACAGGGAGAGAGATGCAATGTTGCAAAAATGCAAAGCAGACGGCATGGAAGGAGTCGTAGCAGGTAGCGATAAACGCAGCAGAATCTTTACAGGAACCCTGATCTCTCTTTTATTTCCATTAAAGTCACTCCTCTGCACAGGAGGATGATAACTGTACAATATGTAGAAGGTATTCTTGGTATGCAATATAAACGTTGTTTCTGTTTTAGTGGGGCCAAAAACCTTCCAGCTGTCATCCCTTAGGGTGACAAAAATATGTATATATCACAATTGTAGACAAAGCCAATCATTCCCCAAAACCCTTTTGACCAAAACATTTAAAAAATAAGGACAGATAGGGCTGATCTTAGTGACCTTTTTTATTTTTGTAAAGACTGATTTTTATTTTTGCATTGCCAAAATCTCTTGTGCTTTTAAATGATGTGTGGTGGACAAACAGTGCGGCTAACAAGACCAGTCAGGGAATGGAGTTGTGACACCAGGAAGCTGTGGCCTCTCAGTTTGGAATAACAAAATGGATTTAGCGCACACTGGCCAGATAGCGCAGGTTTTTTCAGTTATTTTTCTGTTTTATACAGTGAATTCCTTTTTCTTCTCAAAAGGACACAAAACATGGATAAAAAAATGCTACAACACGATCCTAATGTGCACACATACACCTGTGTGTGGCGTAAAAAAACCAACTGAGTATAGCTGCACAGTTCAAAAGTATCGCCACATTGTGAGAGGAACCCCCCCCTCACATCCCACTGTTTCTTGGAGTTTGAACCTCTTTCAGTCAATCTGTGCTGGCCAATGAAAACTGTACAAGAGGAAGAAGTGAAAGGGAGTGCATCTTTGTGTTTATCAAGTACTGAGCGACCGCCCGGTGTTCTCGGGGGAAACTGCAGGCAGTCAGAAAAGTTTGTGTCTGATTTGCCTCAGTTGTTTTCGAAGAGCGATAGAAGGTCATCGTTGCTATTGCTGGGAAGGTCGGGGGGGGTCCAGGTACGACAACAGCTCCTCTGGGTTAGCAAGCTCTGGAAGAAGCTGTAAGGAAGGAGAAATTGGTTAGTCATTGAATACACAAACTATTAAATACGGATATTTTCTGCTGTGTGTCAGGACTCACGTCTAAAGAAGGCTCGGGCATGTCCGACACTCCTTGGCTGTCCAAACTACTCGAGGGGTTAAAGGACAGGTCGCCGTGGGGATGGTTGTTGGGGCCGGGCGGTTGCTGATGTTGTTGATGTTGCTGATGTTGCTGATGTTGCTGATGTTGCTGAGGAGGCGGAGCTTGTCGTGACGGCTGAGGAGGACCGTTGTGGTGTAGCTGCTGCCCTGATTGGCTCCCAGGATGTGGAGATGCATGTAAGCTCTGCAGAGGACCATGCGAATGGTCATTGCCTACAGAGTGAGGTATCTGTGGAGAGATGGGCAAATAATCAGACCAGGGTTGTTACCGATAGTTACTAATATGGTCTAAAAAAAGGCTCCACACATTTTCATGACATGCTGTATTTGTGAGTGAATTCAAAAGGTTTCTAGTGTTCGTTGGAAATACTAGCAATACTAGAAAAGCTTTCTTTCTGAAAGTTACATAACAAGAATGATACCACTCTGGTGTTGGATGAAGTACTCAGATCTTCTAATTAAGTAAAACGAGTAATACTAATGTGGACACACTTGTAAAAAAAAAGTGAAACCTCATTCCAACTTAAAAATGTTACACATCTTTCTGACATTATTTGTATTGCACAACTTTTACATCAGATTCATACTTTTAGAGATATTAAACATTGTTCAGACCTTGGTAAAGAGGCCTTCTTCAGATTTTAACATTAGTGTGTATTGCGCAGCTCGTTAAGGATAGAGTGCGTGATGTCACAGGTAGAGTGGGGGACAGCTTGAAATTCGCCTTCATATATATATTTTTAAACCTGCCATAATTCCCAAACCCTACACTCCTGGGACATAATTTGTCATGAAAAACGTAGGACAACATCTCTTAGCTCAAAAAACAAAAAAAAATAAGCAAAAAAACAAAACAAAATGCCTCTTGAGGGCATGAAGTGACAAAAACTATCAACATGTCTCCATTGAGGCCCATTGTAAATTCAGCCTGATCTTTCCTCGCAGCAGCTGCCACACACCTTTAGTTAATCTGCCAAAAAGGCCACATTATTGACCCAAAAGTACACAAAAAGCAGACTGAGACGCTCGTCAGGGTCCTGACATGCTTCACGCGTTGACATTTCATCGATAGCTGCTACGGTTCTTTAAAAAAAACGTTCACATGTAAGAGGTTTATCTCTCATTCAGATCAATGGAAAGGCTCTCCTCTCACTGATTAATGCACATCACCATGGAAACCTTTGATCTCTGGGCTCAAGCACAGGTGTTTGATAACGTCAAAACACAAACACCTGTGTGATGATGTCATAACTCCAACTGACATGCTCAGAACGCCACCAAACATCACATGATGGTTAACACTGTAGCCCTGAACAGCTCTATATCAAATCTGATGTTAGGTAATGTGATGTTACTATGGCAACGCATCCCTCGCCATAAAACACGATGTCGCTGTAACTCCAATGGACATGGTCCGATTGTCCCCAATCTTCACCTGTATCACCGGTTCATGCCTCAACAGGTCTACGTCAAATCTGACATCTCACCATATGCCGTTTCCATGGAAACGCATCCCTCGCCATAAAACACGATGTTATCGTAACTCCTATGAAAATGGTCAAAACAGCACCAGACTTCAGATGATGGTTAATGGTCCAGCCCTCAACATATCTATGTGTCATTAATGAGTTTTCCTCAAAAGCTGTTGCCATGGCAACACATCCCTCGCCTTAATATCCTGCATATTGGGGCTGAACATCCGACTGTGAAGAATGTGGTACTACATATTGGAACAAATTATGTTGTGAAACAACAGTCAGAAGTGCTGAAAAAAGACTTTAAATGTCTGTTGGAAACTGTCAGCTCTCTAAATGCGGAGGTGTTCATCAGTGGCCCTCTACCGCCAGTCAGAAGAGGAGTGGAGAGATTCAGCAGATTGCTTGCACTGAACACCTGCCTGTACTGACCATTCTGTCAATTTTATTGACAATTTTAACTTTTTCTGGGATCGCAGACATCTTTATAAGGCAAATGGAGTTTGCCTGAACAAGTCAGGAGTGAAATTGTTTATCTCTAACATATTCAACTGCCTGCGTCATCAATCTGTTCCCTCTGCCAAGGACAAGCAACAAGAGGAATCAAAACAGGAGAAAGACACAACACATCGCTCAGAAAACCCTGAAGAAGTATCACTGCACCCGCCTGAGGAATGTTCTGATTATGGGAGACCTGTGACACAAATTGAGTAGTCTCCACTGCCCGTCACCCCCCCTGTCAACGCCTTTGAGGATACTCTTCATTCATCCCCCAGCTCTCTCTACTCTCCGCTCACCCTTTCACCCTCGCCCTCCCCCCTGGAGTTCGATGACCGCACAAAGGCGATACGCAGGATTGGCAGCATGTCCTTTACCCCCGCCCCTCAACGACGCCCACCAGAATCACCTAAGCAGAGACGCGCACCATCTCCCCCGGCTTCATCACCATGCCTACCACAATCATCCAAACCAAAACAATACAAGGAAGATGGAAGCAGATTTCCAAACCCCCCTTTCTACAGTGTAGCCCTCACCCTGCCCTCCTATGATGAGAGGAGCAGGGTGGTGGGTCCTCCCTCCCCTTCAAAGCCTGATAGGGATGTGTGTGTACAAAACGCGGCAAACTGATATTTGCTGGGTCCAGGCTCAAGGGCGTATGGCACTCTCAACTCTTTCAAGGACATGCCGGGACCCTGCCTGCCTGTAGCTTTGCCGATATCTGTGTTGATAGGTAATAGATTAAGAGCAGTGAATCATCTTAGATACAGGAAGCGCTCAAACGTTTGTGTGAGTTTATCAAATTTAGCAGTGATTCCATGTCAGCCACAGCTTGTCACAAAAAACCTGACTGATAGTGTGTTTAACGAACTTAAACTAGCTTTATTAAATGTCAGGTCTTTGACAGGTAAAACATTTTTAATCAATGATTTTATCACTGAGCACAATCTCGATTTTATGTTTTTAACAGAAACTTGGATTGAACAAAATAACAGTGCAGCTGTTCTTATCGAATCAACCCCTCCGAACTTTAGTTTTATGAGTCAGGAAAGAATGCAAAAGAAAGGGGGTGGAGTTGCTATTCTGTTCAATGATTCCATTCAATGCAGGAAGACATCTTATGGCAACTTTGCTTCTTTTGAATATGTGGCCCTTCAGCTGAAATGCTCCTCTCGAGCTCTGTTCCTAAATATCTATAGACCCCCCAAATACTGTGCAAGCTTTTTTGATGATTTTACCGAACTGCTGTCTATAGTGTGTATTGACTTTAGGGATGGGTATCGTTTGAAATGTATCGATTCCGATTTCGATTCCGGTTCTGCTTATCGATTCCGGTTCTTATCGATTCCCCGTTTCGATTCCAAAATTGTAAAATAAAGAGGTCAAACGTTTAGATAACAAAAATATATTTATTCTTAAAAGCTTTAACTGAAATTGTTACTAAAAAATATACATGCAATACAAATGTATTGCACAATAGCTGTGCTTTATTTTAACTGAGCTATGCCTGTGGCAAGCTATTAACAGGCATGACACTTTGCCTTTTCTTTTTCTTTTTTAGTGTAGTGGAGCCTCACTTCAGAGAGTTTACCGCGACCTATCTTTGGTGTTATGAAGTGACTGAGCTCGTGAAATGTCTACGGGAGGGCGGGGGAGCATCGCTGCGGGGCAACTGTGGACCTCTGTCGCCTGTCAGCGCAATTTATATGATGCCGTTTAAAAAAATGAAGGGCGGTGCCGGCCGTCAGCGTACCGAGCCGGCCGTCAACGGCCCGCTGACGACCGGCCGTTCTGTGATTCTCCAGGTCCGCCCTGTATTCCACCGGGTCACCGCAGCACCGCGGTGCAGACGGACCCGCTGGAATACAGGGTCTACCGCGTTTAGGAACCGTTAAGCAGAACCGAAATTGTGTATTTTGTATGGGTACCCGGTACCCGGCATTTTCTTATCGGTTCTCATCTGGAACCGAGTTTCGGTTCCCAACCCTAATTGACTTTGACCGTCTAGTCATTGTTGGTGATTTTAACATCCATGTTGACAACCTCCAGGACAGAGGGGCTAAAGAACTGTTTTGTGTTCTTGATAACTATGGACTGACTCAGCATGTGACGGAGCCCACGCACAATAAGGGGCACACTCTGGACTTAATTATCTCAAAGGGTCTGAATATCTCTAAGGTTGTGGTGACTGATGTTGCACTCTCTGACCATTCCTGTGTTTTCTTTGAGAGCTCTATTTCTGTTCACAAAAATGTTCAAAAAGAGGTAACCACAAAGCGATATTTAACTAAAAATACTAGGGAAATGTTTACTCAGAATTTTTCTTCCACACTTGCCCCTGCTAACATCTCAGTAAATGAGCTAGTAGATCATTTTAATTCAAAGATTAAAAATGTTATAGATGCCATTGCTCCAACTAAGGTAAAGGAAGTGACTGGGAAGAAAATATCTCCATGGAGAAAGGCCATGACCGTGAGAACAGAAAAAAGAGTGTCGAAAAGCTGAACGCAGGTGGCGAAAAACAAATCTCCAGGTTCACTTTGAAATCTATAAAGAGAGACATGGCCTTTATAATTTGGAATTGAAATTTGCCCGACAGTCTTTCTTCTCTGAAATCATTGCCAAAAACAAAAACGCACGTGCCTTGTTTGCTACCGTCGACAGACTAACTAACCCCCCAGTGTCAGTAGCCTCTGAATTTCTATCCACCAGGGCGTGCAATGATTTTGCCTCCTTCTTCACTGACAAAATTCAGAAAATCAGACAAGCAGTCAGTGCCTCTGTATCAGGTACAGCAAATATGTTGTCCCTATGTCCACCTAATATCAATTCAGACATCATGACACAATTCCATCAGATTAATGATAAAAACCTAGAGGACATTATTCAACTTCTGAAATCCTCCTCCTGCTGCCTTGATATTATTCCAACAGGATTTTTCAAAGATGTTTTTCCTTGCATGGCCTCAGATCTACTTCATATAGTAAACAAATCTCTTCACTCTTTTTTTTCCCACAGGCCCTGAAAACTGCAGTCATTAAACCGCTCTTAAAAAAGAATAATCTTCAGTAATGAACAATTACAGGCCCATATCAAACCTCCCATTTCTAGGTAAAATCATTGAAAAAGTTGTTTTTCAACAGTTGAATAACTTATTGCATTTAAATAACTGTTTGGATGTGTTCCAGTCAGGCTTTCGTCCAAACCACAGCACTGAGACTGCTCTTGTAAAGGTCTTCAATGACATCCACTTAAACACAGACAGTGGCAGAACTTCAGTGTTAGTATTATTAGATCTCAGTGCTGCGTTTGAACTCTTACTACTTTTAAATCCAGGCTGAAGACTTTTCTTTTTGCCGCTGCTTTTAATTGAACTATTCACATCTTAGACTGCACTGTAACTTTTATCCATGTATTTTTTCTTTTAATGTTTATTTTATTAGCTTTTCTTTTTAATGACTGATTTTAAATGCCATTTTCTTAATGTCTTTCATTTTTTGTAAAGCACTTTGAATTGCCTTGTGTTGAAAAGTGCTATATAAATAAACTTGCCTTGCCTTGCCTTAAAACACGATATTGCTATAACTCCTACTGTATGAAAATGGTCAATAAGTGCTCAAACTTCACATGTGTGCTAATAATCCAGCCGTGAAGACATCTACGTGATAGTTTTGACATTTATTCAAATGCTGTTGCCATGGCAACACAATGCTCGCCATGAAACACGATTTTCTCATAACTTCTGAAGTTAAAATGCGCCAAACGGCCCAAAACTTCACAGGTTTGGTAACGATGCAGCCATCAACACATCTAAGCGTATTATGGGGTGTCATCAAATGCCGTTGCCATGGCGACAGATCACTCGCCATCAAGTTAGTTAAAAAGTTTGCAGTTCAAATATTCTTCTGCTTTTCCAAGCCTTTTTACTTTCTTTTCTTATCAGACATTCAAGCTCCCAGTGTTCATGTATCATTTCAATCTAAATTCTTCACTTTCTTCTTACACATTACATTTCAGCATAGCAGTTCAGTGTCAGCTTTTCAGCATAAAGCATTCTCACTAGCAATTTTTCAGGAATTGCATTCTCTAGTATTATTATATTATTGAAGAATTATCATTGACACATTTATATGTACATCCATCTTGAGTTACAGCTGGTTTAAATTTAGCTTCCGTTTTTTATATATAAAGTATAATAGTTTAGAAATAGTTTATCAGACAAACATGGAAGCAAAAACATGAGAAACAGTGACATCTTCAAAAATCTAATATGGATAAAAAAGACAGAGAGAGGGGAAAACTCACCGAGTCGGGCATGTTGTGTGAGAGCGGCTTGTCCTGGCTCATCAGGCTGTTGGGCATGTCGGGGGGGTGAGACAGCTGGGGGCCGTGCATGAAGTCGTTCATCGATGTACCACCAGGGGCGCCGTGGGGGAAGTCAAAGCTCCCATGGTAACTGTTGCCTAGCACACAAAAAAAAAAACAGTAAATATATAGTCAGTACAGTACATTTCTTACACTTCTTCTTAAACTCCTGTTGAGGAAGACATATTTTTAGTCTTTATCTTATTAATACTTCATATTTATGTCATACCTTGGCTGCCGTATTCACTGTTGTTGCCGCCTTGCTGGGAAGATAATAACGGGTACGGTGTCGGTCCCGGGCCGAGCTGAGCTATCATCTCCATCACATTGGGCATGATCATTTGGCTGGGGCTCATAGTCTTAAACCTTTTGGCCAGCGGTCCATCCGGATCCTCCTTGATGTGGATATCAGATTTAATCGCCACCGGCCGCCAACTACACGTCGGGTCGATGGTCACCTCCTCAAACTCCGAGCTGGTTAAATACAGATTAAAAGGTTAAGATCTAGACACGAAGATAGAAGTCATTATATGGATAGTATATTTGTTTTCAACTTACTTTTGGATCGCGTTTAAGATTCCCCACATATACTGGTCAACTTCGAGTCCCTCTAACAACGCTGTTTTACTGAGGAGAGAAGAAAGACAGGGTTTAAAATGTTAAGAGAGACAAGCTCTACACAGGGTAAATACTGTTATCTGTTAAAGCTTATTAAACTTACTTGCATACAGGACATCGCCATGTACCCCGCTCACAGTTCAGTTGTAAATATGATTCCAAATCGAAACACTGCAAGAAGAGAAAAAGAGTTTCATTTTTTATCCATGCCACTATTTTAAAATGACTTTTCCCTTTAGCCATCAGCTTTCTGACTCCTAGTGTGTTTGTTTATCCCCGAGGTGTTTACCTGAACGTGTTTGCAGTCATGTCCTCTTGCTGGAAGCTGTATTCGCCGGAAGGTGATTGGACATTTGAGGGAAACTTTAATAGCTGTTTGCTCCACGCCGTCTTCTCCGTTGAGCGTCGGGTTCCCCGATGACGCTGCTACGCTGCTGAAGTTCCTCTTAACTTTACAGCAGTAGGAGAGAAATATGGTGCGTAAGCAAAGACTCTGAGAATGATCAGGACATAGGGTGCAAAATGTGACTGTGTTCTTTGGTGATACCTTTGGTGATGCAGTGCTCTGCAGGCAGAAGCCTCTTCTTCAGTAAGCCCTGGAGGACAGAGCGGACTGATGGCCTGTGGACAAGCTGCAGCACAAACAAGTGCGACTGCAAGAGAAAACACAATTGTTACTATCCCACACCCAAAACACCCAAAATAATGAAACTGGATTGATCATTTTTTTTACTTTTATTCTAAGCTGTAGCATTAAATATTATTATTTCAATCTGTAGAGTGTACTCACACAACAGCAGGCAGTTACTGTGATCTGGATCGTGTTCCTTCCTGGTTGGCATACGTGTTTCAAGTGCAGGGGTTTATGGGAGGTCTTGTTGTCGCCCCGCTCGATGGTGAGTGGTGTGGCATTTACGCTGACTTGGACTGATGCCGGCCAGTTGGTGTTCATCTGACGGTCTTCATGGTGGTAGCACTTAAACTGCAGCTCCAGGTCCGATCTGCATAGAGAAGAAAATATAGATGTTCATTTGGAAGTGTAACAGAGTAATAAACAGAGATATTTCGTCCCAATCAATTATAAAACAAACAGACTGCCAGTGATGGGAGGCTACATCTAGGATGATGTTATCATTTGGCATCAGAATGAATCTTCACTACTAGATTTTTTTGAGGCTGTTGAAGCTCCAGACAGGAGAGTGACTTTTTTTTGAGAGGGGAGTAGATAATGACAATAATCTAAGTCAGAGAAAATTGAGACATGAATGACCTTCTCTAAGATCGCCGGGAATAGTGGTGGTTTATTCAGTATGGATGCACAATCTGTTCAATCTTCTTGCTAAAGGTTAAGAGGAATGAAATACTCATGGATGAAACTCAAGCTTATTATTGAAAGCTTAGTTTTTCTGTTGACTGACAACCAGATGTTCAGAGATGCCAAAAAGAACAATGAAAGAAATAGAGATTCTTCAAAATCAGGTATCATGCAGACTGTTAGTCAACAGCCAGCAACTTAATCAGGGATTTAACATTTGTATTTCCACCTAATCCCAATAACCACTTTAACAACTATTTAAATTGGATTGCACCTTCTCTCTCCTTGTTCTGTTTGGAAAGGTAAGAGCCAGACTATTTCTTAACTATATACATTTCCAACAGTTTCCAGAGATATAGGAAACATAAAATTGCCCCAGAACAAAAAGACAACTTTTTTTCTCACCGAATATCTATTAATATTGTGTGTTGATTCAGTGTGTGATATCTTACCTCCACATGAGCGTCTGGTGTACCGAGGGCCGTAAGTGGAAGACGTGGTTGCTGACAGCCAGGTTGTGCTCTAGCCTGAAGGGCTCAAGGACTACTCCGTCCCGCACTGGGAACGTCAGCCGCAGCTCCTCCTGGTTGGCTACATTAGTTGAAGAAGAGCCACAGTTAGATTATCATGAGGTTTTAAAGGAATAAATGACACAATTAAATGTTTCCAGTTACTGACCTGGAGGGGGAGGGAGAGCGTTGATATTTGGCTTGATGTCCGGAGGGAAGGGTGGTTTCACGTCCTGGTTTGGCGACAGGTATGGAGGGATGTTACTTCCTGGGGTCATTGGAGGGGTGGGGTTGCCTGGCACTGGGGAGTGAGGGTAGTTACCCACCGGTCTGGGAGGCTATAGGGAAAACAATCGATTAGTTGATCCAATGTTTATGGGACTGTGAGAATCACAACCAGGTGTATGATATAATAATGTGATAAAACTAAATGAGTAAAAACATGAACTTACCCCATTCATATTACCCTGGCTGTACTGATATCCACTCCCAGAGAAGTTATTTGTTTGGCCATTAAAAGGTGGCTCTTGCTGCAATTTGATAAAACAAATACAAAAATTTGTTTTTCCACCTCCAAAATAACCTCCAATATGTGATTAATAACATAATTTAGTTTGTATTTTGTTGTTGGACAGTCTGGTGGATAGGATTTATATATTTTCCCAGAACATTTACTATACTTTACAATTAACCATGACTGCACCTTATAGTATTGGCCCATGACACCACTGGGGGGCGGGTATTGACCCTGCAGCTGCTGTCCTGGCATCCTCTGGCCGGGGTAAGTGGGGGATGACATCGGCCTCGAGGGGTTGGGTGTGGGGTATGGTCCCTGCTGGGTAGGGAACTGGCCGTTTTGTCCATACTGCTGCCCACCATAGTTTGGCTGTGGATGCAGGGATGACAAACACATACATTCATCATACAGCAAACAAGCTAAAACGTGAAGGTGAACGTGTTGAATTCACATCGACTCACCTCCCCTGGGTACGGCCTTTTCATGCCCTGTATACCCATGCCCTGAGGCCGGGGTCCTGCATAGCCTTGCTGGGGCATCCTTTGGCCGTGGGCATTGAAAGGCCCCATGCCTTGGCCCCTGGGCTGGTTCATTCCCATGGGGGGCCCGCTCATGTTGGATGGGTTCATGCCACCGCCCATGTTCCCAGGCATGGACGGAGGGCCGCGGGGTCCTTGCTGGTTCATGAACTGGCTGCTGTACGCCTGGTTTGGTCCCATCTGGAAAGAGGAACTCATCTGGAAGATAAAATGGGTTCAATCATCCAACTGCAGGTTGACTGTCAAAGTGGAAAAATGTTGCTAGTTAAATGTCACAAATGACCAACAGGCTCAGCATTTGTTATAGCTAAAAGAACTATCTAGCAAAAGTTATATTTCAGCAAATTATTCACACACGTAGATTTATCCTTATTCACAAATAACCCTAAATTCACTTCTATTTGCTTCCTGTTCTAGTACTACTGCTACTATTAAAAGTAATTGAGGGACTATCAGTTGTTTGTCATGTCCTACCGGTCCATATTGACTCATGTCCTTGTTCTGGGTTTCCTGCATGGCAGCTACTGTCGCTGTGGCCGTGGCGGTTGCCGTGGCGGCAGCGGCAGCAACTGCGGCGGCGGCGGCAGCAGCGGCAGGCTGGGTGAAGTCTGACTGAGGGCGGGAGTGTGGAGGCATGCCCATTCCTCCGGGTCCACCGTTAGGCCCTCCAGGGTAACTATGACAAAGAGGAACACAATATGAGCTCAGAGAGTTTTAACTATCAGAATAACTTCTCTGTAAGCAATTTCTATCAATGCAACAACCGGCGCAAAGCCTCTGTCCACTTACTTGCCACCAAAGCCCCCTCCTCCAGGGTAGTTGGGTCGTCCGTACATGCCCTGCTGCATGTAGCCCTGGTTGGAGTTGCCTTTGTTGGGGAACTGCTGTTGAGGACCGGAGAACTGAGGGGAGTTCATCCCGGGATTGTTCCCAGACATACCCGATCCCATTGGGTTGCCCCCAGGGTTCATGTTGTTGTTGTTCACCATGGGGTTCCCCAACACCTGTTGGACATACAGAGAGATATACTCGTGTAAATGTTGTGTGCTTTAACAAGAAACCTCGTCCTTTGTTGGACATGTAAGGGATCTCACCTGGCTTTGCGACGTGTTGGTCACGCCCCAGACGGTGGTAACCACCGACAACGAACCTGGAGGCTGATTGGTGTTCTGTTGCCAGGGAACTGAGTCGTAGGGGAAAGACCCATCTCTGCTGAGGATGGATAAACAAACATCATGTAAGCTGAACAAAATGTGCCTTGCGTCACTGCACAAATATTAGCCGTGTACAAAAGTACAGGCACAGGGAACAATAAAGATTGTTAGGATTATAAAATAAAAGCATTTTCTTCCTCTTGCAATGAAAATACATTGTGTTGTAATTATTAACTAAATGTTTTAGAGGTTGTGATGTATTTATTCCCAATTGACTGTGCGACAAGCAGTTAGTCTGGCAGTTTGTCTCTCCACTGATCCATGAGGAACACCGGGCTTCATGTGGAGAGGAAGGGCTTTCCCCAAGGGCCTGGTCTGTCTGTTCACACAGCTAACACATACATATAAACACACCTCATACTCAAGCCAAAAAGCGCAGCAGTGTGAACACTGACCCGTGTGAGAGGCCGGGCTTCATGGAGCTCATGGGGGGCTGCATGGGCACTTTTCCCGGAGGCTCGTTCTGCCTGCTCTTCTGGTGACGGAGGAGGAGGAGGCGTCCAAGTTCCTCACACCACGAGGACAGAAGAGCTGGAAGGAGAGCAGAGGAAGAGTGCATTAGTGAAATCCTGTGAAAAATAACTGCAGAGGTAACAGCCCTCTACTGCAAGCGCTGCAAAAACCTGCAAGAAGTGATTATGTGAGGAAACGAGGGCAGACAAAACAACAACTTAAGAACAGAAGCTTCTGAAAACAAGCCTGACTGACAAAATGATGTGTATCTTTGTGCAAAATACACTGACAAATTGGGGACAGCTGTCTGCGCAAAATAACAGAACAAAAAAACAGAAACATGTACAGTACACACTAAAATAAATACCAAAAACATTTCAAACAAATATAAAAATGTAGGCCCTTTTTTTAAATAATCTACTGATTAAACAATGTTATTTTAATTTTATTTAGATGAACTCATTATTTGATTATTTTTGACAGGTTCATGTTTATTGTAGTGTAGAAGTTAAATGTATTACTTATCAATGTTGATGCTAACAGCAAGGTACACATTAGCTGCCCGTTTACAGTCCGCCATATTTTAGTTTGTGTAGTGCACCACCCCACTAGTGGTGATTTAGTTCACTGTAATTTACTAGAAATCGACATGAATCATTTTTAAAGTAAAACAAGTAAAGTGAGAGATACAATTTTGCTAGTTGAGGAGCAGCTCACCGTGTAACATTTCAACATGCAAATAAGCTCTACAGCAGTTGATACAAATAACAATAGATAATGTCATGTTTGGGCTTCTTTATGCTGCAATACTAAAGATCAGCTTTAAATCCAGTATGTCACTGCATCTCCTGGCCACTAGGGTTCACTCTGGGCCCGCAAATGGACTCCAGCCCTTCCCTCCTCTCCTCCTCCTCCTCTCCTCCTCCTCCTCTCCTCCTTTCCTCCTTCCTACCTACCACTCGGCTAGGTAGCCACCACAGAGTGTGTTTGATCGAATCATATGCTTTTCATCTGCAGTGCATGTTTTGTACTGTGCCAACTACAAAAGACTCACTTTCGCTTTTTCTCTCCCTCTCCCTGCCTCCTTCTAGCTTCTCTCTGTGGCGTCAGAGGAAAAAGGGAATGTGGATTCAATCAAAGAGCAGGGCAACCACCTCCTCTTATGATTCACAGCACTTCTACAGAGACTAAGGAGCGACGAGCGAGGGGAAGGGAGGTGGGGGGGGGGGGGGAGAGATACAGAGAACATGGTGATTTTAGCTGTGGTTCGCGCAAAAGCCACGTCAATATGACAGCAGACAGTCCTCGCAGGCAGATCCACCCTGCTGCCACATGCAAGGACGGGCCGCCACAGCACATATTACACAGAGGGGGGAGAGAGACAGTGACAGAGAGGAAGAGAGATAAAAAAAAGTTGAGTGAGTCAGTGAGAGAGGAAGCATCAGGCTAATGGGGCTGATGGGAGGAAGGAACAAACAAAAGCTTCTGACTCCCATCACAAACATGGCAACCCAGAGATTTGACAACACATGAGTGCTTGCAAACAGAGCCTACTGACACACACATAAGGAGAGACACCACACTGGCTTACAGCATAGAGGTAAGAATAAATAGGACATGAGACGTCCTCTGAGTGGCGCCGAATTTCTGAAGGACAAAACTGAATTTCAACACACACACACACACACACACACACACACACACACACACACACACACACACACACACACACACACACACACACACACACACACACACACACACACACACACACACACACACACACACACACACACACACACACACACACACACACACACACACACACACACACCACACACACACACACACACACACACACACACACACACACACACACACACACACACACACACACACACACACACACACACACACACACACACGTTCTCCTCTCAGAGCATCGCACCCCAAAAGGCACGTCCTCTCCTTTCATTTGAACACTGAGCACACCAGCCTCGCTCTGTGTAAAGATGAGGGCTGGAATACAAAAGACATGTACAGATGGTGCCAGCAGTCTCTCTGCCTCTCCCTCTCCTCTCCCTCCCCTACCTCCCACTCCTTTAAAAGCAGCACGGGGCTCAGGCACAGAGGCAGCTGGGTTTTTCCTCCTTCCCACCCATGCTCCCTCTCTTTTTCTCTCTCTTCCTCCCCCCCTCCCCCCTGCCTCCTGTTCTTGGCAAGGCAGGTGCCAGGAGACAGGCTGTGTTGCTCCTCCTGAGGATTGATCTGACTTTACATCGGCTGCGCTTTGGTCGACAGGAAAGGCCTCTCAGGTGCTGTTCTCCTGAAAAACATCACACTGGCAGGTAGATGCACAGATTTGTAGGTTAGCTTTAATTAAATGGAACCGCGTCCAAGTGCGGCTAATAGGTTTACGAGTTTCACATCTATGTTAGAACGTCCTCCAGTGTTTCAACAGCACCCTCCCTCTCCCCGGACCCCTTTCTGATGGATTGAGTTTTCAATTCAAGGGCCTGGCGATCAGCCAGCATGTTACAGCTCAATTAGGTCCCATTATTCTCCTCCAACAAGGGGTAACTTGCACTTCTTCTATGTTGATAAACATGTCTCCACAACTTATCCCCTAACTGTGGCAATGAGAGGCCGTCTGGCTGCGGGGAAGGTTTCGTCGTTTCACACCGAGGCCGATATCAACAGCCGCAGACAAGCAGCAAAATTACAAAACATATCTAAGAGAAGTAGAGGAAAAACAGCAGAGAGAAAGAAAAACACCAGTGCTGCCACTTAAAAAGGAATTACTTTACCCCACCATTAGATAAAGGGCTTATCACCACACTAAATTATCACCTCTGCTGAGCACCAACCTGTTTAAAGGAGAGGCACTCTATCATTGACTCAGAGGATAAACTTCAGGTTTCATATGACAGGAGGAGGAACACCTCACTCCTCACAGTCTCTCCCTCCTTCACCTAAGCATCTCTCAGGACAGAGCGGATGACGAACACAAAAGGATTACTGTTTTTCTTCCTTCCTCGCTCAGACGACCCTTTAATAGACTCATCTGTGCCACAAGAGCAAAAAGTGGATACAATAGTTTCAGGTGTAGCGCTTCCAAATCACCAAGACTGTTGAACCAAAGTGCCATTTGGTGCTACAGAGCATCTTTTAGCTCCGTTTACATTGTCTCCCTGGTGACTATGAGTCTCTGTCTTCCATAAGGAGAGAAGCCTATCCTGTTTGCCTTGTGTATAGTCCCAGGAGCCCGGCTGATTCTGAGCCGTATTGATATTCTGGTGCTCAGCTGTGCGGCCTGATGGTCAGCTACACTGAAGGGCGGTAAATGCATCTGCTGGGAAGAGATGGGTGGTTCAGTGGCAGGGCCCGCAGCTTCCAGCTTCACTCTCCGTCATAATGCCCCGGGGAGACATGACAAACGACATGGACTGCATCCCTGACAGTTGTTCAATGCTCTTTCCAATGATAATTCTCCCCCACCCCAACTTTCCCCACAAATTCAGACAGCAGGAACAGAGATAAACTGTGCTGATTAAATGCCTCCATTTTGCCTCTTTCTGCTCTAGCAAAAGAAAAGGGCCTCGGGATTAAAGGGTCACTTCACCCAAATGACATGGTGCCTTTGGCGATTAGTTGTTGTGTTTTGCTAGCGTTTTGAGATATCTGTGTCTATGAGAAATATTTCATTTGTGCTGCTGAAGGAAATAATTGCTCTTTCTGGAAACAAAATCATTTTTACTTTAAGTTTGATGAACAATCTTTAATAGAGCTACATGCAAAGGCTCATTATCTAGACTGTTCATTCATGCTAGACCATCTCAAAGAATGTAACATTGGGGCTATGGTAGCTATATGCCACATAGGAAATGGAAGAACTGTGACTGGTCAGTTTGACCTGTTTGTCTTTTCAAGTTTTGTGTGAATACATGATAAGGAAGTCGTAAAACAAGTATTTTCAGTCAAGAGAGTTTATCCCAATGTCCTTCGTATCACAAATAACATGCGACTATAGGCTAATTAACAATAAATCTGTTTATTGTAGCAGTGTATCACCACAATAAACCCAAAGGTATTCTCCGGGTATCTACGGTAAAACCCCTACGTAAATTATAAATACATTTTTATATATGCTATGAAAACATGTTAATTTTTTTAACTTAAAAAAAATACAATTCCATTCACATGTATATTGTTAATGTGCATGCTTGAATAAAATAAATGTAATTTTGTGCTGCAACAGCTACCTGTGGGAGAGGATAACCCTAGAAACACAACATGATATTTCGCCATTAAAAGGTTACTCCTTCACTTGCTGCCTTCTCCAGAACATTTTCCAATACTTTTTCCCCTCCTTCTTTCCCTCCCTTTACTAGCAGGGGGACCGTAGTGGAGGCAGCAGGTAAGGCAGATGCCAAGAGCTCTTATGATCCTCATCCCTCCCTCCCCTCCCTCTCTGGTCTGTATCTAATAGACACCTGCTCCCTTGTCCACCCTGCACTCCCACCTGGCATCGGCCCACATGGCTCGGACACTCACATCCACACAGACATACAGCATATATCCAGTCATCACATCACTCTCACATTATCAGCAGCACTTCCTTACTTATTCCCAAACTAACTATAACATCGCAATCCAATTTTTGCAATAAACCTGTCGGAGAGAATCACAGCCCCCAAACGGCTTGTTTAAAGACATTTAGCCAGAAGGGCTGAGAAAAGAACAAAGACCATGAGCAAACTAACAAGAACGGCTCTAGTGGGCTGCACTCTTTAGTTTCTGAGGGAGCTCTATTCACATTCTGTTCCTCCCTCCCTCCCTCCCTCCTCTCTACTCTCTCTCTCTCTCTCTCTCTCTCTCTCTCTCTCTCTCTCTGCCCAGAACGGTTTGAATGGACACAAGCCTCCTGCAGGCCAAAGTCAATTAAAATAAGAGAGAGTCTAGGGAGCCCTAGTATCCCTGGTTACTGAAAAGCACCTAAGAGGCCATGCAAAACAGCCATGTTTAGTTTAAGCCAAATAATTTCTCGCTTGTGTAGGCTTCCTGGAATCTGGGATTTACCTAAAAATGTATGGAAAACCTCATGAAAACGGGTTGCTGTGACTTACAGCCGTTGCCAAATTGTCCTGTGTAAAATACCGGCTGAATCGTAAATCATCTCCCTCTCGCCATCCGCCACAGTCGCCACAGAGCCATGGATGCCCGCCTGGCAGCAATCGAAACTCGCTTTTGTCTTCCCACAGATGCCACCAATTATTCATCATTGCCAATTTGATAATGAAATGGAAGCGACTCGTTCATCATGCAGTCTTTTGAGGGGCTGGTAGGACAGGTTATACCCTGTCATCCCCTGACAGACCAGAACTGTTACTTGTTCTTCTATTGTGCGATAAATACACCGCCTTGAACACATGGTACACATTTTGCCTCTCTGGTCACCCTCTCAACTCTGCTACGCTGCGGCACGGAAGCGAGTGTGAACTGGCTGTCGTAAAAACGAGTCTGTAAACTGACTTCATTAGCTACTAAGATCTTGAAGTTGTTTGAGGCATTTCGTGACATAATTCAGGGTGAGTGATGTTTTCAGAAAGCCGATGAAGTGGGAAGGATGTGTGAAGCGGGAAGATGTAAATGTCATGGCTGCCATGTGGTTTCAAAATGTGGCATATTCCCTGAGGTCCTTTAAATACGCAGTCAAGGAGCTATCTCATTAAGTGAAAATGAGCTGAAAAACAAATAAAAAAAGATTACAATGGCAGTGAGTGTGTAGCAGTGGGAAAGTATGAGAAGCAGCTACATGTTGTGGATTGAAAGCATTAGTGCTAACAGTTATAAAACAGTCTGTCTATATAGGAGAGACACCCGCCTCCTGTCTGCACCTCATCTTTGTCTGCTGCTTTTTTTCTCCTTGTATTATTTCCTCTGCCGCTCTCTCTCTGGGAAGTCAGGGATATTGGAGTCTTGTCAATGAGTACTTAGCCCTGCTGCCTCATGGGGAGCCAGACATGCTGGCTAGGTTTTATGGCCCATTTCAGAGCTGCCCCGGCTTAAATACAGCCTCCTGCTGGCCACATGGCCGCAATGTCGTGCCATGTCCATCCGGCAAGGAGAACTGGGGGACGGGGGGACACTTGGACTTGTGCCAAAAAGGTTTTAGCGAAGCCACAAGCATATGTGACCATGTAGAGGCAACGTGAAGAAAAATAAAATTCTGCAGATTCTGGGTTGCTGTTTTATGACCTAACTTTTTGCAACATTAAATACGTCTTAAGACTGCATTCCTGAGATGATAGAAAATATGTCTCTTAGTTCCTCTTAACTTCTCACTTCTGTTTTTGTAAGGACGTTTGTATTTATATATCCAGCTTACCACTTTTTGATGCTCATTTCTATCTATATACATAGAAAAATGCAGGATTCCTTTTTTTTAATCTTCAAAAAAGGTCAAACACATTTGAATGAAACCCGTGATCACATGTTAAAGATCAAAATCTGTATACTGTATATCTTTAGAATTAACTGAATACCAACATGATGCAATATACGCCACCATACACAGAATTTATGCAGATCTCATTACTCTGACTGACATATTTTGGTCATGGTTATTCCGGAACCAAACTTCGCCAAAGCAGGCCAATGTTTTAAAAGATAATCTCTCTTGGCACATGCAACAAATCTCTTCATCAAAAACAGGGCATGCTATTCATGGTCCCTCTGAAGCACGGAGGTGGAAATCCATAGAGTTTTACCCCCTGGTGAGAATTAAGTCCTTGTGCATTTAAGCCAAACATCTCCCTCGACCAACATTCAATCAGTTATTGTATGTCACGCCATGCCACCCTAAGCTGATTGGGAGCACAACTCCATCCAAACCTACATCTTTATGTCTTAATTCAGGACCTCAGGCCTGCTAACAATGTGTTAAAGTGTCTGAGGTCAAGTTTCCTCAAAGAACAACAGCAGTGGTTATGCAGTATACTTAAACGCTAACTTTTAGTAAAGCATGCCATTGTGTTGACATTTTCTTTCCTACCATTTCTCTCATTTATTTAACTTAAGTTGTGAAAAACATAACAATCAAATAAATATCTGGAATGGAAATGCATTTTTAATTGAAAAATGGGGAATTCATTACCACCATTATCAACTTACTTAAAGCAGACGTGATGTTTTGTTCTTTTGTCTATTTTTAAAATGTTACTAATGTTGTTGTTTTCTTGTTTTATATAGCAAGTTTTCACAAGTTCTATAAAACTACACTTCATGTGGTTCATATGATTCACTGTTAATTACTCAAGTTTCAAGATTTTACAAACTGGTATTCCTACAGTACAGACATGGGTGGAAACAAATGAAAATAATATCTTAAAATGTAATGCGTGCATATATTTATTAAGGAGCTCAAACATGTAAAAGTAGTGCCTAGTGCCAGGGAAAGGACTCTTTATCGACTAGTAAAAGTGACAACCCTATCACTTGACCACACTGAGGGTCCAGACACCAGCACAGAGTGTGTGTTTAACCGTGCACCAGATTATCAGACGAGCAGACCGGCAAAGAAGCTGCTTACAGGAGCCAGACTGTTTCCCCGAGCAACAGGCTGCTATTAACCAAGGCCCAGCCTTAAGCCCTCGTCTACAATGATACTAATTAGGCACGGAGCAGATGTGCCCGGACTAGTGCCCACCTCAGGGTGCTGGGCAGGGCCGGCAGTGTCACGCCGGCATACGCTGGTGGCTGATTCACCTGCAACCTTTTCTCAGTGGGCCTGGGGTCAAAGCCTCCCCTCAGAAGTACAGTAGGAGCAGACACTGGAGGAGCCTGGGTTGGGGCCCGGCACCCCTCAAGCCTCATTAGAGGCGTCCATATGTGCAACAGCGCAGCATTTGGATAAAAAGCCTTAGTGTGATAAACACTCAGGCCAAACAAAAACAATACAACTATATCCATTTTAGGCCAAACTGAGATTGATCTTATGCTAATTGTTTCTTACACATATGTTTTAATGACAGAATTAAGAAAATAACATTTTGCAGAGAAAGTTATTTTTTTTCTATTTTGGCGTATTCATCTCATTACTTTAAACTGAATTCCTGCATTTCTAATAATGTTTTAATTCATCTTAAAATCTATTTTATAGCAGCAGATAATGCATTTGATACCGTAGATGTTTTTTTTAAAATTATATTTTATTGTATACGTTGTTATTCTCAGTTAATCTTCTGTTATTTTGTATACAAATAATATTAAAATATATATTAATTACACATATCGTGTATCATTTAATTTTGCCCTTCTATATATGCCCAGGACTGAAACTGTATTTCTTCTATATAATCTCTTATTTGTTATATTATCATGTGTGCTAGTTTTCCTAGTTTCCTTACAGCTATCATTAACGTTTCATCACTTTATTCTAACTCTGGTATAAGATATGTTCACAACTGCTATTAATACTATGTCTCAGAAGTGTGTAGGGGATAAATTAACATAAAAATCACCAAGAAGAACAAAGCATAAAAGTATATTGTAAAAGGCTTCGATGAACAGCTGCGAACAAAACGAAAGTGTGAACTGTGACGCAGGCAAGATGATAAAACTACATGTGTGACATGCTTCAAAACTCCGACAGACAACACAACAGCAGCCATGGAGCTTTTTCTAAATGACCAACCAAAAAAAAGCACATCTGATGTCATTCCATGTACAGTATGTCGACACGCGCTGTGTGAGGACATACTGTAAGGACTGTGATGAGGATGGTAGTTTGGATTCAGCCAATGAGTTTCCTGTGCGACACACAGCAAGTACCTGAGTCAGACTGACACCTCCTGCAGCAGCTGGTTTCTGTAGGGTTCAAATTTGACATTTTACTGTACTTTACAAACATGTCTACGATATTCACTTAATGACAAACATTTGATAATTAGACGCTCCCTTATCCAGACACAACCTATGAGAGAGATATATCAGGTCATAACTTCACACACTGTCTAAAGACCTATAGGAAAAGGAGAGAATGATTGGAAATACTATACTTCAAATGAGAATATGACGGAATTGCAAAAACACTTTGAATAGATAATACTTTGTTGTGGTACAATATTACGATGATATTAAGTGACATGACATTCCTGCTACAAACACAACAAAAATGATGTTATATTTTGGGCTTGGTTAGTTTATTTGTCTGTCAGCAGGATTATGGAAATACTACCAATCTGATTTGAATGAGACTTAGTAGAAGGGTGTAGTATTATCACATTTTTGTGGTGCGAATCACAGGCAGATTAAAAATGATGATGTATCACTTTAACTAATGTTGAATCATAGGGCACTTGTGCTGCATCCACTTGGTGTCAAAATAATTTGAGAAAATGAGTTCCAAACTGGTTAAACTCAAAGGAATGTCCCCTCAAGTTGAAACAATAACTCGTTAAACGCGTCTTCTTTATTGTCACAACAGACTTGAAGCCCATGAACCCACCAAAGTCTGAAGAACAACTTCCCAACTTGAGAATTTGGAATATCCCAGGAATATCAACATTTTATGATAGACAAAGATGTGTGTAGATGTGGATTGTGCCCCATGTGTAAGAAGTATTACTGAAATCTCTGCTCTACACAGGCCCGGTTCCAGAACAAAATGACTCAGGTTGCATCTGAGATTAGAGAGGGTGCAGTGGTAAAGTGCTATTTTTATAAGTGGGGAGTGGACCCCTCTAGAATTTTTTTTAAATATTGAAGTTAAAAGCATCAATTTGGTACACTTTGAGAGCAAAATTAAGAGATCTATGTGCTCTTTGCTTGATTCATGCCTTCCCAGTCCCTTATCACGTAGCCTATAAGAGCATGGCACCAGTTGTTGTAGCCAGTTGTGGTGAAGGCATCTGACTGACTTGAACCGAAATGTCTACATGCACAGCAGAAGATGGCATCTTTTTTACATGAATATTCCAGCCAATCTCTGTTTTGAAACCATGAGCTTCAAAATGAGTAGCCTACAGGCGAGTTGGGTACTTTTTTAAATATACCTGGGCAGGCTCTGTTTTGCCGAGGTCCTCTGGCACTTGCGGGCTGCTGAGGGGTGGCGGTGTTTGGGGCAACGAAGACGGCAGCGGCTGCTCCGCCTCCGTGGGCGAGGCGGGCAAAGCCGGCGTTATTGTCCACGACAGTGGCCGCGGGTAACGTAATGTCCCCATGATCTGAACTGTTATTACCTGCAGTAGATGCAGTGTTACTGCTGGCGATAAGGGCTGGTTGTTTTAACAATTTTCTGATGTCCATCATTGACTGCTGTGTAAGCACCTTGCAGATGACGAACGCGCAGCGGCACAGGTCAGGCACACCTGACATAATAATAACGTTACTTACCGTTTAAATTGACCAAATAAATGCAGCAGACAATGTTATTTAACCACTATTACAATTTATTTTATTTCAACTAAATTCTTCTTTTTATTATTCTTATTATTCTTATTATTATTACTACTACATTTTTCAAATGAGGGTGCATAACGACTCAACTAAGGGTGCAATGCACCCTTATGCACCCCCGTAGAACCGGGCCTGGCTCTACAGCTATAAAGGTTGATAAAGGTCATAGATTACTTAATGCCTCTTTAATGGGAAGCTTTAGCATCGTCCAATAGCGTTATTTGTAATCTCTTATTACTGTCTCAGCATTATTTTCTGGTTCCTCTCCAGTTAAAGATTTCTCTTATTTGACCTCTGAAAGCATCTTTTCACTGCTTTCTTAACCACACTTAAAGGATTGTGTGAAAGACTTTACTCCCTTTCTGCAGAAGCTAACTCACTGCTGTAGATAGAGATCAAGTTAAGTATTTCCACTGCTCTGCACTCTGATACCTGATCCACACCGACTGATGATTACTTTGCACCTATGCGATTGATCATAAATTAAGATCAAATAACAGCTCACCCACTGAAGTCTGCCTCTGGATGCTGTTGTTTGTTCTTTAAAGGACTTACAGAGAGAATAACAAGTAGGCGGATGCGCTTGTGTTCCCCTTTGATGTGAGCAGGAAACTCCACCTACGCTTACACATTGGTATTTCAATGCAAGTTTAAAACTCTGGTTGTGATTTTCAGAGATCACATAACACGTGGTCAGATTTTTGTGTCAAATATTGAATGACAAGTATATTCCAATTAAGTACACTGTAATTGTTCACTATCTAGAGTTTGTTGAGATGAATAAATATCATTATTCATGATCTATTTTACGGGTTGGCAGGTTGTATTGCTACTTCTTATTCTAAAATTTGTTTTCAAATGTGATCAAAAAACTATTTTGATTTTGATTGGAGCGGTGAATATGTAGAAGTTTGAACAGACTGCATCCTGTGAAAATTTCTCATAGTTGGAAGTTCTGTCATAAAAAAGAAAACGACACATAAAAAAACAACAAAAAGTCGACATGATCTTCAAATACGCGAAATGTTATCAACGGATGATTCATATCATCAAACCAAAGAAAGAGGTCACTGCAATTCCTCAACTTAGTAGATAAAAGAACATCTCCAATACAGAGAAGAGATTCATCAAAGCTGACAAAACAACAGTAATGAATAGTTTGAAATGTGCTGTACAGCTAGCCAGACATCTCTTTAAGAACACCGCCTGTTGACAAACCTCTCCTGTCTTAGCATGTTGGCAGCCATCCTACTCACACATATTAAGGGTAAAGCATAATTGAATAATTGCCTAAACCAGGACTTTACTGTGCAGTTAAACAAAACCCTTCTTAGTGGATAAGATAGAGGGAACAATAACAAAAACACCATGCCAGAAGAATTGTCAAGTGAAGCCAAAAAGAGAAGAAAAAAAACGAGACCCAGCTGACTTTCTCTCTTTATAGGAAGACTCTGCGCAAAATCTAGTAGGTTGTTCCTTTAGAGACAGCAATGTATGTTTGTTCAGTAAAGACTATAACAAAGCACTTCCCTAATAAATCACACAAAATGATACTTCTGACAGATATGTGGAGCTATGAGGTAAAAGAGTGACACAGAAGTAGTTTACGCAGCTATGTGCAGACAAGTGTTAACCTTGTTTTGATACCACTTTTTATCATTTAAGTCCATTGTAACTGCTGTGAATAAAAGGGTAATATACAAACCTTTCAAAACCATCTTTCAAGCATACAGCCGGAGGTAGCTGATGCTCAAAGACAGATAGAAGTATTTCTTTGATTCAAACATACACAAACGGGTGCATTAGCATTTCAATGCAGTCTAATGTCTGAAAACTAAAACCTGTTGCTCCTTTTCAAAAACTCAGTGCACCACACACGATCGGAACACTGATCTGAAACCAGTGAATTACTACATAGGGAGAAAATCAGTGTGTTTCTCTGCTTGTGCTGTGTGGCACAGAGGGGAGTGGGTGTGATAAACTGCCAAGAGCCTCGTGGAAAAACGCCGCCTCAAGTAGGTCAGCGCGACTCAGAGAGATAATCAAGGCCATTTTGACCCCTCCTGTGTGAGCTGTAAGTGGGTCAAATGCAGCAGTCAGCTGTTGCAACTCTATCACGCGGGCGCTGCGAGGCACTCGTCATACTGTCAGACCCCATTCCGTTAGTTTAAGACGTGGCAGGGTGCCCTGCAGCACCCACCAAAGCAGGACTCAGCCCTCTATCTGCCTCTCTCAGGGGTGAAATAACGTGAAGGTACCCTTAGCAGCAGTAGCAGATCCACCTTTCCCTCTTGTCAGTGAAAACATCCCCTGCAAACACAACCCTCTTTAACTGTTGTCTCCTCCTTTTGACAGCTCGCAGCTCTGTCCTATTCACAGCGGCGAAAACTCCCCCTCCGCCCTCCCCTCCATGTCTAAAATGCCACCCGCATTTCAACCAGACTAACTCCAGCAATGTCCCTGCTTATTGCTCACTCTTCACTGCACAGAGAAAAAGGGGAACTCGTGTGTCTCCAAACACTTCTGAGCACATATCTGCAACAGCAGAACAAAGGCGATACAGGGCAGCCTTAATCTCTGCACTACTGAAGCCAGCAGCTATTTTAAAGCTCTTTCTCTGTGTCTCTCTATCCCTCCCACCTTCCTACATTCTTCCTCTCCTCCTCCCCCCCTTCTCCCCCCACGTTTCCCTCAGTGTCTCAGGGCAGCAGCTCCTCTCTGTTTTCTTCTCCTCTCTCCCTGCGTGTCCAGTGACTGACTGCACAATACACATCAATTATTCATGGCTGCTCTCTCCGTTTCGCAGGCAAAACCAATCACAGATGGAGTCATTGCTAATGGGCTCCTGCTGTACTTGCCACCGGTTTGTTTGCACTCAAGCAACAAATACCCCAGAGACAATGAGAGAGAAAATAGGGATAAACTGTAAAAAAGAAAAGAAAAGGGAAACTTCATACAGCAACGAGGAGCAGAGGAGGACCCAGTGTGGTCAGAGAAGAAGAAAGGTACTTATCGTCACAAATAATCTAGCAAAAATTAGGAGCCGGCTTCTGCAGCAGTGAAGGGTTAAAGACAGAGAGGGGGGTGGGGGTGAGGGGGGAGACACAGGGGAGAGAAAGAGGGGGGGGGGCAGATAGTGAGAGAGAGAGAGAGAGAGAGAGAGAGAAAGAGAGAGAGAGAGAGAGAGAGAGAGAGAGAGAGAGAGAGAGAGAGAGAGAGAGAGAAAGAGAACCAAATGCTTATCTCCTCACCTCGGATGTATGCAGCAGTTATTGATGTATCTTCTTTTTCTGTCTAGTGATCCATTGCTTGCTCTCCCAATACACACATCACACAGAAGCAGCCACAGCCACTTCGCCAGAAGGGAGAGAGGGAGGGGAGAGAGGGAGGGTGGCAGGGGAGGGGAGGGG